CAATGATAATAAACTTACCATTTTATACAGGGTGTCCACAAATTTAAACTAATCAAATAAGAAATTTAAGTGGCTATAACTTGATTAATTTAAATACAACTCCAAATTTTTTAGCTTACCAGGAAATGCAATTTTTAATTATCTATCGAATGGTACTAGGATGTTGATAACTAAGTTTTTGCCCTTTTTCAAAATTAACCAAATAATGCTTCTGTGCACCATTTTGTGTTTTTTTTAATTAAAAGGTTAAATAACATATCAACAATAACATAAAACAAAGGCAAATTATTTATAACAAATGTTCGAAATGTTGACCGTCCATTTCTAGGCACTTGTAAATTCTTTTTTCAAAACAACTGCTAACTCTGGACAACATTTGCGGAGTTACAGTTTTAAAAGCGTCTCATGCCTGTTTTCAAATCGTGTGAAGTTGTCGGAAGCGTATGGTAGACAATTCCTTTTATGTACCCCACAAAAAGAAATCTAGTGGAGTTAAGTCCGTATAATGGGGGGGCCAATTTTTAAACCCATTTCTGCCAATCCACCTGTTTTGAAAGTTGGCATTTAAAAATTGCCGAACTTTGCAGTGCTAATGAGGAGGAGCTCCATCCAATTGAAGCCACATGTTGGTTCTAATATTGAAAGGGACTTCTTCTTCCTAATAATATTGAGAGATGGTTTATTAGAAACTGGAGAAATGGAGCATAAACTCGAGAAGCCAATAAACAATTTTTATGAGGTTCTCCAAGGGTGAAAATCATGTCAATACGCTCTTCTCTTGGACAATTCTTCATTTTCACTTAGCAACACAATAATAATATTAAAATAACGACTAACGCGTCTACAATTACAAAAAACAATACCACTCTAGCTATCAAAAAGAGACTTTGCAGTCTAAACTAAAAAATGAAATAAATTATTTGACATGTGTAAATGGCATAGGCAACTTAGATCCAGTGGAACCTTAAATTAAACAACACCACATGGTGCACAGAACGACTATTTGACGTATTTTGTAAAAATGCAAAAACTTAGCTATTAACATCCTAATACCATTCGATAGGTAATTAAAAATTGCATTTCCTGGTAAGTTAAAAAATATGGGGTTGTATTTAAATTAATCAAGTTAGAGCCACTTAAAGTTCTTATTTGATTAGTTTAAATTTGTGGACACCCTGTATAACATGGTAAGTTTATTATCATTGGGATATAAAATATTATATTTTGTTACACTTCACTATAAATTACGCTTACATAACTTAAATACTTCTAAAGTATTTGACACGTGAAAATTA